AATTGGAAGACTCCTATAAATGTTCAAATTGTGAGAATTTTCGAGTCTGCTATTTCAAGATTTCCTTCAGATTCTCTCGGTATTATTGTTTATAATAGTGAAAAAATGGGAGAAAAAACTGTAACTCCTAAAGCGAAAAGATGGGCATTTACATCCAAAAAGAATATTGAGATTTGTGATAAAAATCAGTTTGTAAAAATTATTAAAGATTTTTACGATTCAGATAAGGATGATCATATAGAATTAATCGATTATAAAGCCAATCATTTTGATATAATCAATTTGATAGGTGAGAATGTAACAATCGGTAAGATAGTTATTAGGAAAAATAGAAATGTAAATAGACTTATAACTCCTTATTAAGTTAATACTGCCAGATTTTTTCATATGTATATGTTGATTGGAGTTGATTTTCTTTAAACTAGTTATCTTTCTGTTCAGTTTAATACCGAACAGATTTTTCTCTGAGTATTTCCTTCTAATAAATTTATTATTAAAAATGCATCAAACTATTTTTTTATGTTTATTATTTTCATTTATCTTTTTCTTTTTGGTTTTGAAAAAGACCACAAAGAAAACAAAGATAATTGTTTTTACTGGAACTATCGGTGTTGGCAAGACAACTTGTGCTAAATTATTCGAATCTTTCCTTAAATCAAAAGGATTTACTGTAAAACATTACAAAGAAATTTCATTGCAAGTTAACGAAGAATTTTATATATTCAATAAAGACAAACCAAAGAATTTTCTTTTTTTCCAATACATTTTGTTACATCACTTTAAACAACAAATTTACGAAATTAAAAAGAATAATTTTAGTTTTTTATGGTTCCTATGGAAGGTCGATTATATTATTCTCGATCGTACTCAGAAGAATATGAAGATGTTCAATAAATTTTTTCAAGATCCGAGTGAGAAAGAATATATTGACAGAAAAGTTGATGAGATTGAACCACTTGACTTCTATAAGGTTGTTTTTGTGACTGTTCCAATTAAAATGTCTATTGAACGGCAGCAAAAGAGAGCTTGTTTAGGTGAATTGGTCGAAAGGGAGTATTTGGAAATGCTTAATGCTTATTACCTTAAAGATATTGATTTGGTTTATCCCGAGAATTTAAAATTTGAAAATATTGTTAATCTTTGTGGCGGTGATGATTGTGCACAATGTCTTGGTATTAAGTTCTACGAGAATTTCTTTAATACTCTTTTATAGCAATTTTTTTTTATTATCAATTATATTATTTATTATTAAATTACTTAACTAGTGATAACTGGTTGGATTTTAAACTATGTAAAAATGAATTTTTCTTTAAATGAACTATTATATTATCGGAATATCAACGATCTACCAAACGAAATTCTAATTTTAACATTGTGTCATATTTTTCAAACAAAAATAACCTTATCTGATTTACCAACCACTCTATCTATCAAATTAGTTTGTAAACAATAGTATGATTGTTATCATTCGTTATTCAAGACTCACGGAACCAAATATATTTTAATGCCCAATACACGTACAATTAAAGATTATATTCCTATCAAAAAATTAGAATATTATTTTAAAATTGATGGAGCGTTAGTTATAGAAAATAACGCTTCAATACAAACAAGACTACAAACTTATGAAGAATATGAGTTTTCTAAAAAAGAATATGAACGATGTTTAGAAAAACAAATTATTTTTAAGTATAGCTTTTGGTTCAAAGAAAAACTTGATTGTAAAGTGTCAAAATGTAAAAGAAGAAATCAAAGTCATCATAATCACGAGATTTGCAAGAAATATTATGAAATTTATGAAATTTATTCTACAAGTTTTGATGATTTGGTTTTTTTTGTTTAAATCTAATCAGTTATTTAACCGATTAGAATTTTATTGATATAATCTGAAAATGAATATCAACAATCTACCAAACGAACTTCTAATTTTGATATTGTATCATATTTTTGATAAAAAAATAACTTTATCCGATTTATCAACCACTCTATCGATCAAATTAGTTTGTAAACAATGGTACGATTGTTATCATTCGTTATTCAAAACTCACGGAACCAAATATATTTTATTACCTGTTTCATGCACTTACGAAGATTATACTCCTATCAAAAAATCCGAATTTTATTTTAAAAATGAGGATGGAGAGATGATTATAGAAATTGGCAAACAAATTCAAATAAAGTTGCAAACCACTGAAGAATATGAATTATCTAAAAAAGAATGTGACCGATGTTTAAAAGAAACAATTCTTCAAAAGTGGTTTATGATTTTTAAAGATCAATTTTATAATTGTAAAGTTTCGGAATGTTCTTCTGATTCAGCATACCATTTTCACAAGATATGCAAAAGTTGTTACGATATTTACTTTTTGAATTTTGAATATTTATCTAATCGTAATTCTGTATTTCATTATTTGACAACTATCTAGTTTTTTTTTAAACCAGTTAGTTTTTTTCAGATATAAAAATGAATTCTTCATCAAACACATCTCCTTCACCTGTTATTGTCCTTGAGCCTGACAATATCGAAGAAGAAGGAACTTTATTATATTGCCGTTCGAAATTAATAGAACCAATCGAATCAAATCGATTTTACGTGTATGATGCTATTGATTCCATATCCCACCCCGATAAAAAATATATGTTATCTTTGTTAACTATTCGGGAGGATGGAACAAAATTCACAATAAATATTTCTGTCGATTCTGTTTTTTTCGATATTAAACTTTATCCTGAATTCAATTTTATATATTACATTCTTGAGTTTGAACCGGATAGTTACGAAAGAATCGAACGACAACCTTTCGATTTGACAGAAAAATATTATTTTTTGCGTTTGTATTTTCGTAATTAATGAAAACGTAAAGAAGCTTTACAAAAACTCACGATAAAACGCGACAATTTTATTCAGAATCCTGATAATTCTCGATTCAAAAGTATAGAGGAATTCGATCGATACTACGATACGTATTCGGATAATGAGACATGCTACTATAGAAAATTCACGAGCGAAAATGATTTTGAGTTAGTTGGATGGTACGAAATTACTGCTGAAACTATTTACGACAACATGTTGATTACTTTAAATGATATAAAGAAACTCGATTACTATGAGATACCTAAGCTTTTATTACTATATTGGGATATCGAAACTTCATCGAGTCGTGGTCCAGGATATTTTCCTTTAGCAGAGAATAAAGAAGATTATGTTTATATGATTCAATTTGATATTGTTTTTTACAATCAAACATCTCCTATTCGACGATTTTGTTTATCAACCATATCTATCAATAGCGAACAGTTCAATCAGAAATATCCTGAAATATCAATAATATTTTTCGAGTTAGAATCCCAAGAAAAACTTTTATTAAAATTGCTGAATTATTCAGAAATTTTAAACTAGATTTCGAGATAGGATATAACACAGGTCAATTTGATTGAAATTTCATACTTAAGAAAGCTAAACTTTTACAGATCGATGATGAGTTTACCAGAATATTGACCAAAACAGAAACAGATATGAAGTTTCAAGTAAATTGGATTACTGTCAGAGTTGTTGACAGAGATATATCGAAAGAAAATTTGAAATATGAATTTGCCGGTATCAATATGTTCAATCGAAACATAAAAATATCTCCAACTGAGAATATGCAATGTGAATTTATGAGAGCTCCAGGAACCGTATTCTTTGATTTTCTTGTTTGGGCCAAGAAAACTTTTCAAACAGAGATAACCAATACTCTCGATGCTGTATTAAAACGCTGTGGTCTTTCTGAAAAAATCGATCTACCATATGTTCCCGCTAAAAATTCTATCGATCTACATTGCATATTTGTTTATGTGAATGCGATAAAGTTTAAAAACAATAGTCAAATATTGAATAGATTATCTGAACAGCTGTCAAAAATGATCAACATCCCAGTACCGCTCTGTCTAGCAGTGTTCCATGTTCCTGATTCAATTCTACAAGATTATGCTATCGAGTTAGCATATTATTGTTCGGTTGATACTTTACGGTTACATGAATTAAACCTTAAAAGAAATATAATAGAAGATTACATTCAACGAGCAACCATATCATGTGTAACTATTTCAAATGTTTTTACTAACGGAGTTGGTTGTTTGGTACGAAATTTAGTTTGTAGATGTGCTGCTTCAGATAAAATTTTAGTTTTTTCTCGTCGTAAAGGAACAGTCCATCAAGGAAAATACACAAGAGCTTTAGTTATTTCTCCTAACAAAAACATTAAAAGGCCTGTTGCAGATGTTGATTTCATATCATATTATCCCCATTCCATTATTCAGAATAACATCTCTCTAGAAACATGTGTTTTAAAAGAATCGACAGATTCATCGTTGAATATTATAATCGATAATAATATTGTATATGGTAAATTTGTTCTGCATGATAATAATATCAAAAAGATGGGGATTATGCCTTTGATGTGTAAAGAATTATTAGAGAAAAGAGCAGAAGCAAAAAAAAATATCAAATTGTACAAATCCGACAATACAAAACTTCGTTATTTTACATCATTGTCCGAAGCGTTAAAAATATTCACAAATTCAATTTACGGCAAAACTGGATATCGATTTTCTTCATTGTACCGAGAAGAAGTTGCGTCATCCATCACAGCATTTTGTCGAGCGACATTACGACTAGTAATCAATTTTGTGCAAGAGCAAGATTTTACAGTCGTTTATAGTGATACAGATTCGATATTCTATTCATTACCAGAATCTTATTTCGTTGAGTTGGATTCAAAATACTCAAACAAATTGTTAAACAAAAAAGAATATTGGGAAGAACAGATTAAGCTAACAATTCAACAATCCCAAATCCTTGAAAAAAAAGTCAACGAATATTTACAAAAAACAATGAAATCCACATATCTTAAAATGGCATACGAAAAAACCTTATACCCATTCTTGATTTTTGGTAAAAAACATTATGTTGGAATAGAACATTCTCACAAACCTGATCTTGATAATTTAAAATTATTTTTGCGGGGTTTGAAATTAGTTAAGCAAAATGTTTCAGAGTTTTACAAGATTGTTAGCAAAGAGTTGATATATTCATCGCTTGGATTTAATAAGGACTTTTCGATTAGAACCGAAGAGATAGATCAAAAGAAAATAGTTGAACAAATAATCGCAGATTATGTGAATAAGAAAGAAACAATACTAGATTTATTTGTGCTTACAGCAAAATACGACCCTACCTACACGTTTGTTTCTGCGATAGACTATATTCAACTTTTTGATAAAAAAAAATCTGAACCTATACTCCAACAAATATCAAAATCAACAAAGAAAAAAGGAAA